CAGAACCGGGGATTGAACTCAGGCCCTTGTGCTTGCCAGGGAAGACATACTATTGTCTTGATTCTTCACTCATAAAAATGTAAAACCCATTTTCACTCATGGGTGAAACAAAAGCAAGTAACAAGTTGAATTTAGCCCAGGGGCTATGGCTTATCAATCACTGATAACACAGTGTTTCCATTACCAAAGAAACTTCTCTCATATTATGCTGGTCTGGTGGATTAAAGAAAAAAGAAATGATTTAGTGGTAGAGTCAGAAAGCATAGTACCAGGTTTCCAATATCTGACAGTGTTTTATGATATGCTTGGATAACAGAATAAGGATCACATAAGAAAGTTATACTGAGATCTACTTTTTTTCAGTGCCTTTAATAAGTTATCACTAAACTGGTTCTGAATCCAATAAGGCAGAGGTGGGTAGCCAGAGGACAGGCTGTCTAAGAAGATCACAGGTAAGCAAAATATTTAACTGTGTTTAAAGCATGTAACAGTCCTAAAGCAGAGACCAGATGTAAAACTAAAATCTTATAGGAACTGTCCTGCCAAAGACAGCCTGAAAGTGAGCTGACTCAGGTGTGGAATTCTCAACTGCAAAGGCAATTTCTGGCAACCAGACCTCTACACTAATGGGAAGGGGGTCACCAAAGCTCTTTGTTCCCAGAAAGACCACCTTCCACCAAGAGCATCTCACAGGTGGAAGACAGGAACTCGAGCTAGGAACACCAGAGACAGGACAGACCTTCCCAGAAGCAAAGCTAGGCTCTGTCAGACAGGCTAACCACCTTTAATCTATCTGTTACAGGGCTAGGGAGATGACTCAGCAGTCTAATCGCCTGCCTAGCAAGTACAAAGACCTGAGTCAATCCGTGGTACTGCATGACATGCATTGTGCAGGCCCCGAAAGCAGGCATGGTGGTGCACTCTTATAATCACAGCAGGGGAGGATGAGACAGGAGGATCACTATGAGTCTCAACTGCACAGTGAGACCCTGTATCTAATAAATAAATAAATAAGAAGGAAAGGGGCCGGGGAGATGGCTCAGTAGAATAAGCACTTGCCTGGCAAGCGCAAGGGACTGAATTCAACCCCCGGTTCCGCAAAAAAAAAAAAAAAAAAAAAAGAAAAAAGAAGGAAAAAAATGAATCTATCTGCTACAGGGCAGAATCTACTGAAGGTCTTTCCAAATTCTCCTTCCTGTACTTTTTAAAAATTTTCCTTTTTTTGTTGTTCCACGGATTGAACGCAGGACCTTGCACTTAGCAGGCAGGCACTTATGGTAAGGACAGGATAGTTCCTATAAGATTTTAGGGGGCCAGGGAGAGTTATCTCCCTGGCCCCTCTCCTTCCAGTATGACAGTGCATGTAGTATTTAATTTCCTTCTTTGTTACTTAATTCTGGGTGCCCACTGATACTTTTTTTCTGAGCGATACATGGGCCCATGAAGAAGTAAAATGAGGTCTGCTAGCTTGCCAGGTAGCCTGGATTCATACCCAGGTGCACCAAGTGGATGAAATTCCAGGGTCCTTTGAGGAGGAACTGAATGCTTTATTACAACATCAACACTTTTAGGCATTAAAAGTGGAAGAAAAGTATGTGCTGTTACATAGATCAGTGTGGCACCTGCAACACATCTATTGGTTATTTTTTTCCCCTTCACCTCGTGGGCAACAGAGCAGTGTGAACACACAGGCAGCGCATACAGTCCTGATGTTCGTGTGAGCTCTCCCCTTCTCCATGACTCAGGGACACACAGCATGAGCCTCGGCATAGCACTGGTGGTCTAATCTAACAGCTTCAGCTCCCTTCTCCTTGATAATGTTTGGTTTATAGGAGGGCTTATGTTAGGGCTTCTGTCTGGATGTCCCCCCCAAAAAAGCATGCAGTCCTATGCAAAGCTTTTTCAGAGATGGCTGGATTGAGAGTGTATAAATAATTCATGGTATGATGACAGGGTTAAGGGTGCCTAGACTACGTGTGAATGATTAGTGTATCAGTCTGACTGACTTGGCACTGCCCTAGTCCTGGTAGCTTGGATACAACATAAAGGACAGAAAGAGGCTGGTCATGTCCCTTGTTTTGTTACCTTCTGCCTGCTGGAGAGTTTCTCCTGTGAAATGTGTCACACCACTCTGCTTTGGTGTCAGCTGCTTATGGACTAAAACCTCTACAATGATATTCAGACAGATAGTGAGGTTAAGCTTAACAGCCTAGGTTGTATGGTAATAACAATAAGCTTCTCTTCTGGAGGGTAAACAACCTAAGTTTGCAGACCAAAATTAAGAGAAAAAGGAGGGCCGCAAGGAAAGCCAACATTTTGGCCCTAGCCTTCCAAGGTCAATTAAGACTCAGGACATAT